TTTTGGTTTAATATTTAAATATTTTGGAACATTATTCCATATTATGCTCTACCGCAAATGATAAACCACATAATTGCCAAAATTATCCATGCAAACAAAATTTTGAAAATCAGTTTGATTTCTTAGCACAAAAGAACCGCATAAGATGCTTCGGCAATTTTGAATATTCATTTGGCACACCAATCCGAATATCTAATGACCGCCCATGCGTAAATATTTCTCCCTCACTCAAGAAGCAGTGAAACTTTTTTTCTTTTCTTTTCAACTGTTGTCGTCATTATGTGCGTGCATGTGACTGTATTATAAGTCTATTTAAATCGATTTTAAACAGTGTGTTACAATTACATTCACTAAAATGTCAAAACATAGAAAATTGATTGAAAATTTGAAAAGTGATTTAAATCGATACGCACTAAGGATTAAATAGTATCTCTGATGGCTTAATTCATATTAAACAGGTTAAGATAGTGTGTATCGTTTACAAACTGTATAAATAAAGAAAATAAATGTACAGTGTAGATGAGAATATAGTTTGTATGTTGAAATGTATGGGCACAATTCTGTAAGTGGTCACATTGAAAAGTAACTGGATGTGAATCTTATGCATATTGAAATTGCACAGCATGGAAAATGTATTATGAGCGTGATGTCAATTGTCAGCAAACCGATTTCCATTAAAGGAATTACTTTTCGCTGCAAATTTATTTACATAAATAAGAATTTGCAAATGGTACATACAATACATCATCTCGAATTTAAAATCTTGTTATACCATCGACCGAATGGTTTCAAGATTGACGTTGATTTTTCCATTTTATTTCTTTTTCTCGATTAAATGAAACTTTTGAATCTGCATACAATTTTACAATAATTTTTACTCTACGAATTTAATTGCTGAAATGCATGCAAAAACTATTCAAATTAAGAAACAAATTGTCTTACATAATATTTCTCATTTTACAAGCAAGCTCGTTTACATAACTTGAACAAAAATGAAACTGAAAATGTTCAGCATCTTGTACTTACCTAATTTTTTACTTTCAAACTTACCGCTTCTCAATTGAATATCATCGAAAAGTTTTCATCATTTTCTGACAATTCACTTTTAGTTTTTCAGCTATTGCAATGAGAGAAGAAAAACAAACAATTTCATTTTATTGATTCAGTTTATTAAATATTCATTTGTGTGTTTTTGGACATTAAAGAAACATCTACATCTTAATCAGTTACTTCCACAGTTTTGTTCATTCGGTTGTTCATTTGTTTGTTATTCATTTTAAGTATATTTCACATAGTTCGAAGCTTGTTAAGCAATTTTTTAATAGCTAGATTGAATGAGCATGACAACGGATATTGGAATCTATCAGAGATGATGAAACTTCAAGCATTTTTCTCATTTTTATCATCCCACAAAGTATAAAAAAAAAATATTCAAACTCAACATGTCAATGTTTCTGACAACAAATATTAGCAATTTTAATACTTGAAAAAATTTGGTTCGTAGCTTTTAGCTCGTCAATGATTTTACGTTGCAACAACATTTCTGCTTGCGAGTTTTTCAACGACATTATCTTTGGTTTTTCACGTCTTTGGTTTTTATTTTCCTGGAATTCAATTCAAGCACTTCTCTCGCTGGAGTGAGAAAAAAAGATTCTCTACATTGACGAGAAAATATATTGAAAGAGTACATTCTTCGGATGAGAAGATATGAAGGACTACAGTATGGAATAACAGTCAAAGAATAGGGTCATTACATAGGTTGGTAGCCCGGAAAACAATTGTCGATTTAATATATTCCAAATTTCATTTGGCGATCGAGAAAAAAATCATTTTTTATAAGTACAGGGGGAGGAAAAAATTTTAAGCCTGATATAGAAACACACATTGTATTTTTAAATGACTATATTTATTATTCAAAGTAGTCTCCATGAACACGAATGACACTTTCATATCGATGCTTCAATGCTTCAATTCCTCCTTCAAACCACTCGGCATCTTTGTCCTCCCATACGTTGAAAATATCGTTCGATATCTCTTCTTCGGACTCATATTGCTTCCCCTTTAGATATCTTTTGGTGTTTGGGAACAGGAAATAGTCGCTGGGTGCCAGATCTGGAGAATACGGTGGATGGTGGAGTTGTTCGAACCCACATTCCCTGATGGCAGCTTGTGCAAGCAATGATTTGTGAGGCGGTGCATTGTCATGCAAAAGAAGAACTTTTCGAGTGAGCAAACCAGGACGCTTTTCTCTGATCGCTTTACGCAATCTATGCATTTGTTGAGCATAATAATAGCCCGTGACTGTGGTATTCTTTGGAAGGAATTCAACCAATAATATGCCTTTGGCATCCCAGAATACAGAGGCCATTACTTTGTTTGTGGCAATTTGTTTGCGTGGCACTTTTGATGCTGGTTCACCACGTTTGTGCCATTCCATCGTCTGTGATTTGAGCTCTGGATCATAGTAGTGGATCCAGGAATCGTCGCCAGGCACTATTCGCTCAAATGTGTCCGTTTCATTCCATTCCAACAACTCGAGAAACTCGTGTGCAGCAGCAATTCGTTCTTCTTTTTGTGATTTGTTCAACGTTCTTTGAATCCATCGTGAGCAAACCTTTCTCATGTGCAATTTTTCATGAAGTATGTTGTAAATACTCTTTTTTGAGATGTCAAACATTGCTGCTAACACTTTCTTGCTCATTCGAGGATTTTCGTGCACGTGATGTTCAAATTTTTGCACTACAACTGAAGCTGTTGCTTCAATTGGTCGACCTGTATGAGGATCATCTTACAATGATTCTCTACCCCACTTGAATTGTTTTGCCCATAGTTTTACTGTGGCATACGATGGGGCAAGGACCCCATAAACAGCACGCAAGCGATCATTGATATCCTTTGGTGTCACACCTTCTTTTGTGAGAAACTTAATCACCGCACGATATTCGATTTTATCCATTTTTTCAAAAATATCGAGGTTACTTGGTATGCAATGCTGTTGAAAACAAACGACGACAGATATCAACTCAATTTTTTTCTGCAATACTATTGACAGTTCGTACTTCAATTACAGCACAAGAACAATTTGTATCTAGTGCCGTCTATATGTCAGGCTTAAAAATTTTTCCTCCCCCTGTAAATTGATTTTTCTTCCATTGCCATCGATTCACAGAAAAATCGAAAATTGATTTCATTTACTCAGGGACCACTGAAGAATTTTTGAACCATGTGGAAATGTGTGGAGTTTCAAACATGAACATTTTTATTATTAAAAACTACAATTAAAAATTATCTGCATCTTCTTTTTTTGACTAAATTAATTACTTATTTTAATTTTAATTAGACTGTTAAAATATATTTTTATTTTAAATGCTAATCTTCATAGCATCACTGATCTTATTTACACGAAATCTTAAAGTATTGTTCATTTTACTTTAATAGTTGAATTAACTTTTTATCAAAAATAATTTTTGTTTTGGTTCACATTTCATTTATTACAGCAAAGTGGAATGTCGATATAGTGTTATCATTCAAATCGGGAAAAATTGTTTTTGATGCCAATCAGCATTTAATTCATCAATTTACTTGGTTGAGTAGACGGAAAAACATGTGGTTTTTATTTGTAAAATATGGTTGTTGTTTATGAACTCTCTCAGATTTATAAATTTCCAATCATTTTGCAAATAGATAGTTATAATAATATATATTTAACTCTTCGATTCCTGCTTAAATACATATTTGCCATTGATCTTAGTTTTAACAAAGACGTCTTTCAATCAACAATCACTGCATAAGGTGTCCGTGAAAATGTGTTGTTCCGCTTAGTTTGTCTTAAACAAAACCAACCTAATCACTTCATCCTCTGCGTTTATTTTCATTTTAAATAGTGAAAACAAAATGCTGATATCATTATACAGTCTCCATGTGCCCCGCCCATGCACAATTTTCTTTGGGATTTGAGATGATTTTTCTTTCTCTTATGAAAAACAAGATTCATTGATTCCTTAAATGTTACACTATGAATGCCACATTTGGACTCAAGTATTTGCAAATAATACGCACTGGAACAATAAAATACACCATTTTTCATTAATAAAAAAAAGAAAAAACAAACAATTAAAACTATGTATAAATCTTTGTTAAAACAAAGTAAATTTGTTTATTTAGAATTTGATCTTTGAATGCGTTTGTCGTTCCCACATCGGTGGGTAAAATTGATATGTTTGAGTCTGGACGAAAACAAACACATACAAAATCGATATGATGTCAAAATTTATTAGTTTTTTTTTGTTCAAACAAAAGAATTGCGGAAAAATTTTAAATTCACAAACGGTATAATTAAATTAAATTCATCTCGGTCGTTAGAGTGTTTTAATTGTTGTGACCATACACAAAAAGTATATGACAGTCTTTCCGTATTTATTATGCGACATGAATTTATTATATTGTTATATGATGGTCCCCGTTCGAACAATTGGCGCCTTTTGAAAGGCGCACGCACCATTTCTGCGCCTTTTAATGAAATGACGAGAAAAAGAATAAGCAACACATCGTATGACTCGTATTTCATTCGATTTTTCTTATGCTAAAATGCTAAGACCATACTTCTTCTTCGTTTGAATCTCCATTGTGCTGCGAAGATCCGCACAAAGAGGAACAAAAAATACCAAAAATGTAACGAATCTGCGCCTACTATGCTGTTTTTCGTACACGCTGTTTATATACGAATCATACGATGTGCTCGTTTATCCTTTTTCTCGTCATTTCATTAAAAGGCGCAGAAATGGTGCGTGCGCCTTTCAAAAGGCGCCGATTGTTCGAACGGGTCTTTGTGTCCTTTATAGAATGCTTTTAAAATGTTTATCGATTTTGTGCCGGGTAACTTCAAATAAAAAACTGTAACTTCGCATAAAAACACCATTCTGTGACGTACAATTATTTTGTGGCTTTTGGATGAAAATTAATAAGACAGAACTGATCTGAAATGTTTTTGCTCCTTTAAAAAAAAAAAAAAAGCAATAGAACCATCATGACTGAGAGATGTCATATTGTAAAAACGTCATCTGGTGACGTGTGCGAATTGTGGTTGAAAACAACCGATATCAAAATTTAGTCAAGACACCATCCAACAATTCTGCCTTTGTAATTACATACATTGATAACCACGTCAACAGATGACGCATTATTGTGCGACTTTTTTCTCGCCTATATTAATATACAGGGACTCATGGTGGTTGTGTAGATGTTTCCTAGGATTTTTCCGAACGAAAATAAATGTATGAGCGAAATGTTTCGTCCGAAATAATAGGTGGATACTATATTTGTAATCTTTTTCAGCATTAAACATTTTTCGTGTACACAAAATCTCAATTTGGACTCAGTGGGGGTGATTTCAAAAATGGAATACAAAATAAATTCATTTATTCAGTAAACTTTTCATTTCTAACCAGTGTAAAATTGAAAATGTTGGATACAAGATGGAAGTAAAACTCCAAGTCACTATACTGACTTAACCCTCTAATGCACTATTTTCCATATTCGACATGAGACCTATTATTCTATGATTATTTTGGTTTATAATTCTTTTTTAAAAAATAATCGAAATGCAAAAAATCCCATAGTTTACACAAAAAATGCTATTGACAAAATTGGAGAACAATTTAAACCATTGTTTAAAGTGTTATAAACAAAGAGACTGGTAATATTTTTTCATATTTCTGTTTTGCGCAGTGATGGTTTTGCGTTAGCCAGCGTTGTCTTAGCCTCGGTGTATACCAAAATTTGTTGTACACCAATCGTTAGCCAGCTAACTGTCTGCACTGCCTGTGTGACTGTGTATGATAGTATGCGTGTGAAAACGTCCAATTCTCCTGACGTATGTTAGTGCTGGCTTACGCATTCGTTAGCCGGTGTACACAGTGATGGCAAATTATCCAGCTAATGTGCTCATCACTGGTTTTGCGTACATCTATGTTTATAATTAAACAACCGCTTAACATACACTTATCAAATGACCGTCAAATGAAAGACGGAATCCTGCTTAAATATACACACAAAAAAAACCTAACCTAAATATCAATTTTTCCGCTCAAATATCAAAGTGCTTAACATATAGAATTTCGGAGGGATTTATAAAAAAAACAGATGAGACTTGGTATAAACTGATTTTTATGTCAAATAAATTCATATTGAGGTTAGGTGTTTTTTGTGTGTATATTTTAGACAAAAATATGTAGACCCCGCCTAAAGGCAGGCCTAGCACTAGAGGGTTAAGTACTCGCATAGCATATTAGAACCACATTTTCGCACCACACTAACCAATTTCGAAATGCAAAAAACATAAATTATATGAATCCGTTCAATAATTGGATTGTCCATGAACCATGAAATATTAGAATGCTTTCAACCCCTATATTATAACACTGCATTTTTAAAACATTATCAATAACACATTCTATCTCTTGAACATAATTTATCATATATATTTTGTTTTCATATTTATTTAAAACTCATTTAGCACCTTCATTGCGAACAAAAATCTATATATAACCTGTAAAAACATGCCAACGATGTCTTTTGTTTTTTTTTCTTGTTAAGTCTTAAAGCTCCAATGGTACGATAGCTCAACATTCAATGAAATGCGATTTTTTTTATACATTGTCTTTGTACAGCTTTGTCCATTGTCAATAAAGTGGTTGTTTTTGTTTTCATTGTGGTTGTTGATTTAACATGAATTCTACCCATTTATAATTTGAAAAACAAACAAACCAAAAAAATATTTATAAATATTTATATATATAAATAATTTTCTACCAATAAATTTTATTCTGTGTTAATAGTCAGTTGTTTGTCATCACATAATCATTGTTATTTATTTTCTCATTTTGTTTGGACTCTGTCCCATTAATGCTGTACAAATTTACTGTCTATTTTCATTTCTCGTTTTATTGAGAAGTTATGAAATTATCGATATATTTTTACTTACGACTAAATTCTGGATTCTCTGTATTTGTTTGTGTGACAGAATGCTTATTTAACATTGGATATTACGGGAAACAGAAGGAAAATATTATTTAATCCATAATTCAGCTATCTTTTAATGATCGTGTTGATGGTATGGTTCTAATGCCTCGCTCAATTTTATCGGCATCGCCGGCTGAAAATCGATGATTAAATGGTGGCCGTGGCATCAAATGGTTCCGCTTCTGTAAATCGGTGATTGATGCCCGATTTATACTATTTTTATGCACATCATTGTAAAGTAATGCACATTTCTCATTGAGCTCATCATAATTGGCTGTGTCATCATCGTCTTTCACATAATCTACCATAGTCGGTAGCATAATTTTGTCACTATATGCAGTTAAATCTAATGACTTCCGACTGATGCTGGTATTCGTGGTGGTGCCGCAATTGCTACTACTACTGTGACTGCTACTGCTGCTGTGCTTTTCTTTGCGTGAACTTTTACGCGGTTTGTGACCGCTAATGGATGGCATTGGTTGGATTCGTTCACTGGCACTACACTTTGGTGGCGTGGTTAAACTGCTGTTTGACGACAAACTTGTTGCACTATTCGAACGTGAACAATCGGCCGGTGTAATATTTCGCATTGATTTTATGCAACCTTCTTTAACAATATTAAAACCAACATTTTCATTTGTATTTCCACAAATTGTCGTTGTCGGTGGCGCAATTGCTGGCGTCGCCGTTGTTCTCATCATTGTTGCCTGAACACCGCTTAGATTTTCATTTGATTGTAATAGACAATCGTCTGAAGAAGTTAATAAAAGTGCATCGGTTGAACGGCAATGAGTGACATTTTTATTATTACTATTATGCGGTGAACTCCAAACGGTTGACGATTGTGATTGTGGTTTACTCGATGCCATACCAAGTGCAAAACGTTTTTGATTATCCGGTGGACTGGTTGCCTCCGGTGAACTGGCATCGGCCTCTGGAATCGCTATCAATGTTTGCGGTTGTAGTTCACATTCAATATGATATGTTGGCTCAATGATGCCCAAAATATTTAACACCAGACGTGGATTTTGTACAATAAACTTTTCAATGGCTGGTAAATCGGTTTTTGTATCGGTTTGTGTGGCTATTGAAATGCCAACTTTTACCGATTTTACGGTATCGGAATTATCATTGCAATGACTTTCGGCCAATGATGAATCAACGATTAAATCACGACTCCATGTTTCAGCCGGTTGTGATGTACTGCGTGCCAATGCATATGAATCGGTATTTTGGGCTGTCATCGAACGTGATTCATTCGGTAGATTTGGAATTGAACGGGCCGGTGGAAAACGGCCACCACCACCCAAATCAACTTGGGATGCAAGCGTTGAATAGGTCATCTCTTGTAGAGCTTGAATAGCATTACGTACCTTGTTTCGCAGAACAAAAGAAAGTAAAAGAAATAAGTTGTTTTCCATGAATTACAACCTTTTATTGGAATTTCTTAAGCATTTTTTTTTGCAGCAACGTCGTTACTTGTAATAGAATTTTATCTTTATAGAACTGTAAACACAATTCAACTGGGACTAATGAATACATGTACACTCTATCATTTTATTTTTTTTTTTCAATTATTCTTGTCTCTAAATGAGAAAAGAGTTAAAAAAAAAAATTGAGAAGTAAAACTACCTCTTACCTCTACACTGAGTGCGGCCACGTCTTGATGCAATGTACTAACTTGATTATCAAGTTGTTCAACGCAACGAGCTTTATAGTTTGTGTCGCCACGTTCCAAGTTTAAACCTTCCAATGAATTGGACTCGGTGCCATGATTGGCTGACGATGTTACAGAACGTTGTCGTTCGACACGTTCACGAAGTGTTGCCAATGATTTACCCCTTTTCCCAGCAGCAGTGAATGTGTTGGAACAAAAAAAGCACAGAATAAAATTAGATTTCTTTCATAAACTGAACATTTTTTTCTCTTTTTTTTCCTTGTAAAGTTTTTTTAATTCGCATTGAAATTCACATTTGATTTTTGGAAGCGAATTAGTAATTTTTCAAACTGTGCTCATTTGTATTACGTTGCAATGAAAAGAGAGCAAGCGCATTATCAAATTTGAAGAAAAGAAACTACTTTTGTATTTACTAGCTTGTGTCGATTAACTTTGCTTATCTTTGCATGTATTTTCTCTAGACATGGCATTTTATTTATGAACGCCATTCTATTCATACACACAACTCGCGTTTATATATTGCTGTGCTATAAAAAAATGTTGATAATGAATGTTTTGTTTCCAAGACTGAGAATTTGGCTCAGAAAATTCTAACAAATCGAAAGAATTTTTCTCTCATAACATTTTCCCGCCTCCGCACACTATTGTTGTATGTTCTTACGTAAAAGAAATTAAATGAATAGAAAACAGAAAAGTTTTTTTCCTTTTGCTTACCTTTGCAAAATTTTTCCATGCCTTGGGCTTGGTGATCCGTGTAATGGCGACCTAATTAAACTATTACTCTTGCTAGGTGAAGGTGTATGCTTTGATTCAGCATCTGATTGATTTTCATCATCTTCGCTTATGCTTGGCAATACCATCGATGGTCCGATATCTGATTCCGCCTGTTCAAATAACAACCGTCAATAATAATATCATTTGTGTATAGTGTAACTTTTGTATGCTACAATGTCTTTTGATTGACGCATCGAAAATTGCTTCGTCAAAGCTTATATGAATAGTATCGCAGTAGAGAAAATCCGATTGGCGATATGAACGACAATCGAAGCACAAATGCAGCTACAACAACAAACTAAGAAAGGCACAAAAAAGGCAAAACATCCGCTAAGTTCACGTTACTTACTTCGTTTTCATAGCCCTCACGCATATTGAATGTTAAATCATGTTGTATATCGTTGGCAAATTCTTGCTGATATTCTGGATACAAGCGCAGTACTTCAACCAAACCGCCCAGATGTATACATTTCAGGTCGCAATATGTGAGCGCCTTAAATAGCACATCGGGATATATAAAACGAAACGAAAAATAAACGAAACAAATTGAAAAGTGAGTGAACGCACCAAGATGAGATGGAGCAATTTGAAGCATATAAATAAAGTTGTGCATTGCAAAATCGCCTCACGAAACACCGTTAGGTTATGTGTATTTAATGTGTTGTAACGTCATTAATTTCACTGATGTGCATTTGCGGCTAATATGTGAGAGCGAACGAACAAGCGAACATTAGAAAACGGGAACGATAAAGAAAAATGATGGTAGAACGTGGAAGATTGAAAGAGATCACAGGCAAATTTTTAGTGAAATGTTGAAAAGAAACGGTGTGCCAACAACCGAACGAAAGCTCATATCCGCCGTACATCACACCAATATATACACATACGCACAGTTTGAGGCCGATAATACCAAATACCATCCAATATCGTATTGAAAATGTGATAATAAAATCTCGAATGTGCTCGTTTGAGTAAAACACACACAACATCGAAGCGAGCAGTCTATGTATTTCGGATGGATATCCATCCGAGATATTTTGGAATATCTGGATATTTAACGGAACTGCACAGAGACAGATCTCTGTCGGTATTTTTCGTGTAGCGACATACCGTAGATTATATGTGCGACGCACACAGCTCTAGCTCTGTCCAGTTGTGTTAAATATCCAGATATTCGAAAATATCTCGGATGGATATCCATCCGAAATACATAGACTGGATGCGAGAAAACTAATCCCGTTGAATTTCTATCGGATTCGCGCTCTATCTCTCTCTCCCGCTGTCGATTCGTTATTTGTGTGTTTCTATTAGTTTCTTTCCATCGATAGGTTCGCACTCTTTAAATTAATGACGCGCCTAACGTGTCCAATGTTATCAGTATTCAGTGTACGATGTTGTGTTGCTTTTACCAATAAAATTTGTTCTGCTATTTAAGTGGTGTGCAATCGCTATCAAAATTTATGATCTCATTTGCCTCCTCTTGTGTGTTCGTAATTTTGTCATTCTTATTTAATGAATTTTAAAAAGCTCTGGCATCGGATGTGGCTAATTAAAAATTTGACGCAAACATTTATAGTTTGTTTGAAAATGTTGGAATAAAATATAAACAATTGAAAAATGACAAAAAATGCAACTAAATAGACGTTGCTATTGTTGGCAATTGGTACAGATTAGGCGGAGAATAAAAAAGATAAGATAACGAGACAAATTGAGACACATATTACCACCCACTCAATAATGATCGGATATTATAAATGTTCAATTGTTAAATGTGCTTTTATGAGTTCGCTCGTTCTCATTCTCATTCCCCTGTGCTGCTCGTTTCCGAACACAATTAAATTAAACATCCCGCTCTACACACGCACATTACTATACATATGGTGTACGTGCATCGCAACATCATTTATATACATATTGATGGTATCGTTTGTGAGCCAAATTTGCTTGATTTTACAGCTGCTGTACGCTAAATGTTATGAGATAGCAAATTTTATGAGAATCCATTATATCTGAATTACATTTACCTTAACATCACTGCTACTTTTCACAATCACATCCTGTGAACCACTTGTCCCATGTCGGCCTTCGCCACCCTGACCATTCGAACAGGTCAACAAATGCTGTGATATATCACAACCCACCAAATCACCTTTGCCTGCCGATTAAATAAATACATTCACAGTTATAAGCATTATTATCAAATTGTGTGGAGTTGATAAGAATCCGATTATGGTTAAAAGCCGAACAATTATGTGTCACACAGAACGGAATTTAAAGATGACACATCTATATATTCATGAATAGAATTAAACAATGTTCCACAATATTATAAGCTTCGTGGTATTGATCTCACTTTTATTCAAGTAGAATTTGTTGACTACAACCCATGAATGTGGTATAAAATCAAATCGGCTCAAATTGGAACGAAGAAAAGGACAGATATCGAGTATTTACTCTACTTAGAATTCCGGATACATTTATGCCAATCACGACGAGAAGAGTCTTCAAACCCATTTAAATTAGTTCAGTATTTGGCCAAAAAGCAAAAAAAAAACAAACATAATTTTAAAAAAGTTAAGCATCCAATTTTTTTATCCGATTAAAAAAAAGTTATACTTGTACTCGTATTTTTTATATGTATGAAGTGATTTTTTTTTGGGTCAAATATCATGTCACACTTCAGAAATTCACAGTGTTTCAAGGTTATACTGTAAATGATTTGCATAATGGGGTTTTTATAAAGAGACGCTTAACATTTTCTTGTTTGTCTTTTTTTCATATGCCCCAAAGCCGCAAGCGAAGCATCAACACTTTATTCAACGATATCGCACAGTAACTCTTCGACTCAACACCTTTTTTCTCTCACCCTGCTGATGCTGCTGCTGCTGCTGACTGAGTCTTTCATCGCAAACACACTCATGTCAACTGCGGAAAGTTTGCTTTTGAAATTTAAAAAAATGAACGATTCAGCAAGTTCATTGTGTGGCATATTTAATTTCAAGTTTATCGTCTCACAACATTGTAAAGTAAATATAATTCTTCATTCTATATTCTGCGGCTCTCTCTCTATATATATATTATATATTCTTCTCTTTCGATAGAAGGGCGACGAAATCAATTTAATTGATTCAATTCTCTTCAATAATTTACCATTCTACACTACATAAGTGAACTATATGTGAATTGACCGAGAATTATGGGCTGATTATTAGAAACGTTTAATGTTCACAAATCGAAGCACATTTAATTTGATTCATTTTCGTTCGTGGGCAAATTTCGGAGCATTCCTTACTAACTCATCAGTAGGATGGTCATGGCATTAGTTGAAGTGTTTCCAAATTCATTTGAACGCAACATCACGAATGAACTTATACGCTTTAGAAGACATGTTATAGACACATAATTGCCATGTCCGAGTATACTATAGCGAATATACGATGAAACTGATTTACATGGGTACCATAGGTGGGCAGGGGGAGGGGTTTTCGAGTTTTGCTCCCTTCTGTCACACATGCATCCGGTCTGCAAAATGAAAAAATTGGGTTGCTCCCCTCTCGTAACCTTAAAAATCTTTCAATCTGCTAGAGTTTTTTTGACGCGAAAGATGACTATATATATTTTTCATTTTTTTGGATGAAAATATGAAAATTCGAGTGTTTAAATATATGGATTTTTCTGCTCAATATTTTAAGAAAATTTAAAATGCGTACTATAATAACACTGTTGTCGTTGCTGTCGTTCATACAATTTGAAGATAAGAAAAATGTAAACAAATCTGATTTTAAAAATATACAGTTCGTTTAGAAATATGGATTTTAATAAATAGAGAAAACACTTGAATACACACGGGTAATAGTTATCTATCGAAAAGAATATATGAATGGTTGAGAATAATAATGACTCACGCCGAAACCGATTCTTTTTGCTCGGTGTCTAGTGGCTGAACCGAAAGAGATAGTTGTAAAATCACTTGGTAAAGTTTGAGATCACTACTAAATCTCAAACTACATCAAGAAATTTTACAACTATCTCTTTCGGTTTAGCCACTAGACACCGAGCAAAAAGAGTCGGTTTCGGCGTGAGTCATTATTATTCTCAACCATTCATATATAAACCACATTTTTAATTACTCTTTGGAATTGTCGAATTTTGTTAAATTTCGTTAACTTGTTGTTCTGAACATTTTCATGTTTGTTTTATTGATTACTGTGCATCAATCACGTTTTATCCATTTTGCTAAGTAAATTTGTTGCGGTTTTCGGCATTCACTTAGGTAAAACGAGAGATAAGCTGCTATTATGTATACAGAATATACCTTAAATACTAATTCAAGATGCGTATAATGCTGAGTCAACGAAATGCTTGAATTTCACGTACGAACCATTAGATTGATATAATACTACTTTATGAATGTATATCAGAGCATATACTGAGCATAGATATATATCCGGGATATTTTGTGAGTATCCGATATTTATCGCAGCCAGACATTATAATGGAGTGAAAACAATAGAAGTGATTGTTATAGGTCTAAGTATAAAACCATTTACATTACTACAATCACTATAACAATACTTCTATTGTTTTTACTCTATTTCAAAGTCTGGCTCCAATGAATATCGGATACTGACAAAATATCCAGGATATATATCTATGCTTAATATATGCTCTGATGTATATTATTTTCTCTAACATTCGTATCGCCTTCAAAAATTGTTAAAAACCCGGGTTTTCTCTCTTTCATCGTTGCACAATTCGATTCAAACCAAATACACGATTCAAACTGGTTGAGATTATTTTTCATCTGTGCCAACACGAAATACATTGACTTTTTAGAAAATTGCTAACAACGTGAATGCCACAGAAAAAACGTTGAACAAAAGGTATTACTAGCACTTTTTCATACTTCGATTAGCACATTCAATTTGATTCCCTTTCAAAATGTGAACTAGAAGAGAAAAAAGTTTTTTTTTTTTGTAATTTGAAAGAGGAATTGAAGAGTTGAGAGGAGATAGTCTCTATAGTTTTCACTTTATCTGAATTTTTCACAGTACATTAAAACCCATTGACGTATATCATCAGTGCACACTTCCGCCAATTCGATCAGCATTTTTCATCGTAAATTGATGAGGCTGGCAGATATTGGTGAACAAAAAAAATAATAACAACATTTTTTCCGGAATATGAATAGTTCTGTGTCAATCAATGAACAAAAAAAGAACTTACCTAAAATGGCGACGACCATATTGTTTTGCATTACTTCCATTGATCCATTGAAAATATAGTAGATGTAGTTTAAGGCATCCCCTTTATGAATCAAGTACTCTCCAGGTGCACAAAAGTTTGCCTTTATATGAAGCGAAAGTAATTTCAAGCAGCCCTAATAACGAAACAAAAACCATATATCAGATTATAATAATGAGCAAAGAAGGCGCATCACCATCGTTCATTCGTTCGAGTACACTCATGTTCGTCTCTCTCTGTCTCTGTGTGTATGTATTTTACGAACGAGTCAACCAAGCGGCTGAAAGATAGAGCGTATGAGAGCAACATTAAATGCGTTCAATTTCAATGCTCCATGATTCGGCTTATGCACAGTGCACACACACACACTTATTGTTGACTCAACAATTTGAATGACCGCACAAAAGTGGATATGAACCACCATCTCTCATAAAATGAAATGTTCAAATTTCAGCAGACACACTTGAGTGACGAATTTTCGTGAACGAGAACTATGCGGTTTCGGTTATATCGTTGTCGTCGTACATTTCGAATTTTATAGAGTATTTTTATGTGTTTGTGTGCAAACTTGATCTATACAAATTTATGCTATCATTTCATTTATTAGCCAGAATGCAATTCATCATTTAGAGTGCTGGGTATAACGAGGTCGAAAATGAAATTTCAGTGGTTCATTACTATCGAAATTTCAACCAAAAAAAAAATTGCAACGGAAAAGCCATATTTTGCATGCAAAAGCAAAAATATAATTTCAATTGAATTGGAAGACAAGAAACTCATATAACTTATTAATGCTGCATCGAATCCCCACGAGTAGCAGAAAATTCCAGCAATCATACTCATTTTTAACCGAAACGAATGGAATACATTGAAGAATCACTTCGATTTGAAAAGTGACGGAAGAAAATTGAAAAAGTTCGAAATATTCAAACATGTTTTTAATACATACATATTAAACTCTCACGCCTTTATTGTTTGCGCTTTGCACACGGTATGTATGTATGTATGTAACAGGCAAAGTTTTTGAACATTATTTTATGAATAGGTTTTTCACTCTAACCGTTTCATATATGTATAACATGTGCATTGCACAAAATCATCAACGTTAAATGGCCATCAACGAGCTTACATAAAATGAAAATTGTGCATATAATCTAGAACATGTTGGCTTTTTTGGTCATTTTGGGATTTAAGCTTATTTTAACTAACTTAATATACCAAAAGAGTTTCGGAAACTTTGTTGATCGAATATGTATTTTATAGTGAAATATTGTTGAGTAATGTGAAGTGTTGAGCTCGATACTTCGAAAAACTTTAAAAATAATTAAAAATCAAAACATTTTAATCTCATGAGAAATAAGAGGTGTTAATATTTATATGAAATCGTTCATACAAAGGCTGAAACATTGAATTCTTTTTGGAACCTGCTCAGTGCTCATATTAAGTTAAAATTAACATACTTTTTTACTGATTATAAAATATAAAAACAAAGAACACAATAAAAGTAGACTTAGAACTGTATGTGGGCTATACTATATGAAAAAGACCATACATTCTATAATGAAAGAAAATGACGAAAAAGCGGAATTCAGGTTATTTACAACGAAAAGGGTAGTGAATATAGTGTTCAAAGTCGCGATAATAAAAAGAAATACAATCAGAAGATGAATTGAATTTATTGATACTCACTTGTGATGCCGACTCAAATATTGGTAGTTGCAAAATTTCTCGATGTAAATGCATTGAAACATCGCCGCGCAACTCCTCCGGAAATTCTTTCAGGATCTACAAAATGCGAATGGAATCAAATCAGAAAAAATGTAATCTACTTTTTTTATCAAATTACGAACGGGAATGAATGAACGAAGAAGATGAAGAAACTCTTTTGATGTCAATTATTGAAAATTGCAATTCTATATAATATCTCTCTTCACTTTTGAAAGAAATCAGGGAACGAAAAAAGGGAAAATTGATATAGAAAAAAATAAGAGAAAATGAAAAGAAACGGGATTTTATTCAAAATGAATTGTATAGTGTACATTATTTTGATTGCATTCGAATTTGGAACTAATGATGATGAATGTTCGAGTAAATAAAATTAATTTTCAATCTAAACTATTCATGTGAGATTTTATCTTGTCACTGGAAAAAATATACAAGTAAAATTAATGGAAAATGTGTTGGCATAAAATTTATGGAATTTGTTCAAATAAAAAAAAATATCAACTTGATTCATTACACGAAGCATCTTTTTTTATTTATTCAATTGCGATTTGTGTGTTCTTTGATATACAATGCAAACATCGAACAAAGCCATTTTCATATCGGGAAAACGGAAATTTTGTTCAATATATGGAAGTTCGAGTAATATATCGAGTGAAAAATATCTTGAAAATACTCTCCACGAGATAGAAAACGTGTGCATGTGAATGGGAAAACAATGATAAGCGAATCATTCTATACACTCTTTTTGTGTTGTTGTTCACCCATGTAAAATTATGGGGGTGAAACTATGAGTATCGGAACAATATAAGTGTGTTGAATGCTCGCATTGAACGAATCCTTTTTACGTTGTCTGGATTTATGATCGACAAGTCTTGAATTAGTTAGTTGTTACGTTGCTCTTTTGCACATATTTTTTCTTCATCCTGGCATCGGTTGACAGGAGAAATAAAACGGAAGTTATTTCCGTAAGTCGAACTTTTCCGCACTTTTTCGAACTTTCCTGATGAATTGATTTCTGACAGTAGCAATGTTGACGAAAAATAATTCAAAATTTATTGTATGTGATAGAAAGGTAAAATCACAAAAAAATTGAATTTTTTAATGGATTTTTTCATATATTTACCAATCCCCAACCTTCTTGAATTTGATTTACTTTTCTTCGTGAAAAGTTTACTAACTAATTTTTGCGTACAGCATACAGTGTGACACATCCCCACAATAACATGGCCAAAAAGCTGTGATTCTTTGATTCTCTAGACCCAAAACGCAAAAAAAAAAGATTTTTTGTGTTTCCAAAATTTTTGAGTCATTGCAATACTTCACTGTACATAGTGGGTTTGCGGAAAAGTAAAAGAAAACACACACACACACACATTGAGAGAGAGTGAACGAAGCAAATTTAACCTGTACGAAAAGTGATACGTTCGGTTAACATATGTATGTATGTATGAAATAATGTGTTCGATATACAAAAACACACAAAGAGAGATAGAGAGTGTGATACATTGAAGAAAATTTGCAAATTCCACTTGAATACTTTTTTGCTTTCATTCTTGTTCACGCATGCTATGATTTATTTTGTTATTAAAACAGCAACGATACTACATTATTGACGAGATATGCAGCAGATCCACCAAGTGTTGCTGGAAGAGGAAAAAAGAAGTTTGACAAAATACATGAATGTTTCACACCGTAAAATCACTCCAAACGCACTTGAGGTTTTACTTTTATGCTGAGCCCGATCGAAAGTCATAGCACGCGTATACAGTGCCATTATTTTCAAATATGAGAATTCGATGCATAATCATGAAGAACCTAAACAGCATTGTAAATCGTTTGGTTTTGTCGTTAGTTTAGTTTTGTTGTTGATCATCATTAAAAATCGGCATACATTTTGGGGTTGACAGAAGTGAAAGCATATATGAAAGCAAAAAAAATGTTAAATCACACGCAAATGATAAGTTTGATAACATTTTTCGGTTGCATGTGTAATACTCATATGTACGCAAAATAGAAATTGAATGCATCAATCGAGAGAAATACGCTTCACAAGCGTAGACAGAAAAATCGATTGCTTTCTTGAAATGTGTACTGAATTTAGTTTTGTCGACAATATAGAAAGAGACGATTCCAAAAAAATGAGAAGAGAAATCGAATGAAAACGATTTATTTAACCAACATTATGCAAATGCGATTCCGTAATGTCATCACTAGATTTTGCGAATATATAGCACTGTGATTGCTGCCATCGAGACAGGTAGAACTTTTTTGTTGTCGTATCGAGAAATACGTTTTAAGGGAATTGGGCGATGACAACTTTCAGTTCACTTTGGTAAATAGATTCGATAATACCACAGCAGTAAACAGATGATATGCAAAAAGAAAAACTTTGGCATATCTGATGGAAGATTTCATCTCAATCATCGAACGTATCAAACACAGTTTCCTTGTGAATCGAATTGGGAAAAGAAGGATAAATAAAAGAAAAAAAAACGATGAATTTCCCGATGAAAATCGAACGAAAGTAGAAAATTGGTAAATAGCACAAGTAAAAGATACGTCTCTCTGAAGAAATCAGTCTCATGCGCACTTATGCTATTATTTACATTCGGATTTATTTTTATTACTCTCCAGACGTTCATATTTTTCGCATGAATGTCAAACTATTCTTAAACATAAGAGATAAACACTATCATTGACCATGAGCCACTATTTTCTTCATCAATTAAACTGTATTTTATTACAATGTCAAATAAATCCAAAGTTATATGCCATAAACCGAAATAAATTGAATGCAAAGAAAGTGAACGAAATCATTTAAAACACGAACAAAAAAAGAAAATCGGATACGGTACCATATTTATTTTGCACAATAAAATAAGAATGAAAATGGAATGCACAAAATAAACCACTTGCTTACCTCATAAACATCGATTCCATGATTCAAAGACCACATGGTTTGAAAGTAGTCTTGCATTCGTTGCTTTAATTCGCTCGGCATTTGATGTAGCACAATAAAATCCTTCAAATCGCGCCATTTGCTGTGGTATTGTGATCGACGTGCGTACATACGTTGAATAATTGCCGTTACGTTTCCAAATACAACAGCATGCATTAGTGCTAAAACGATTAGAGATAATGAAATGATGATGTGAAATTTGAGATTATGATTATTTTGCATGAATATATAAAATATCATTAAATTATGTTTGTTCAGTGGCTACTGCAATTTGCCACTGTTGTTATTTCTATTATCGATGTACAATTTGAGATATCTTACCACCAATCAGCATCATAACGATAGTGAACACCTTTTCGCCTTTCGTATTGGCCGAAACATTTCCAAAACCGACCGATGTTAAACTCGTAAACGTATAATACAAAGCGGTGACATAAGCTTCACTATGCGTTATATTACTAACGGGTATTTTCAATCGGTCAGCCAATGCATGCATCCATCCTGAAAATAATCAAACAAAAACACATTTGCATAAATGAATTATTATTCATAAATTCGTGATTAATCATCAGCACCCGGATAGATGTTTAGCATTCTCATCATGATAATAATTTTGCATGAATATTCTAGCATATTACGTTCTCTCTCTCTCTCTCTCAATTTGATTGCGAACTGATCATCTGTTTGTATTTCAATAGTGAAATTGAGTGCGTCTAACTCAGCTTTCGGTGAAGCAAACGGACAGGTTTATTTATTATGGGCGACTTTAAATGATGCACGCACTCCCAAAATTGTGTCAAATCCAACGCTACAACAAGGGCAGTTGAGCGAGTAATACAATGCTTATTAATCTGTCAAAATAACGAAATTATCACGATCCATGAAAATATACAATCCGCCACAATCACATTTCAAAAAAAAAAAAAAAAATCCGCCACATTCACGTTTCGACGTGCAGGCATTTTATTTTCCAAACTTAAAGTAGCCGCAAATCAATTTTTGATTAAAACCCAGACCGTACCATTTTTCATTCATGAGGATTTTTTTTAAAGAGATAAGAAAATAAGCGTTATTTCCATTCTTCATTGCATAAACATTTTTCTTGGGGTGGGACAAAGTTTTTGTCAGTCATTGCACATATTCCTCATAAAATATGCACTGCAGATTAAGGCTTTAGTTTGTGAGAAAAAAGAAAAAATAAATGAAGGCCATTCAGGTCAAGCCACTTTATCATCATCATTTCAAACTAAAATGTTTGAAGAGAGAAAATAATATATTGTGTACCATACGTACATAAGACTTCACGTGAATTTGTTGTTTGCCGAGTTACTTCTGCAATAAAATAAAGCTTTGAAGGAGCAAGAAAAATGTCGAAGAAAAAGCAAGATGAGAACGCAATTTCTTCTTGTACTTCTTATCCGAAAGAATTCCATCGAATAAGAGAAAAAAAAATTCTGCATTATTCTCTGAAAATTTACTGCAATTTATATGATTAAGAAGCATTTATATTCTTTATCTTCGTATACATTTTTAATTGGTCTTAATTCCATATACCAAGGGTAATTTTTCGGAATTTACCAAAATCTCTGCATCATTTGAAGATGACGATGATGATTTATTGTTATTATTATTATTTTTTTGTTCACAAAAGATTTATTAGCTAACTTGTTTATTTCGCCTGTGTTCAGCATTAATTAATTATTGTAATGCACTTTCATCAAAATAAGATATTGTATATCCATCGAATGACGTAATTAACAACATCGTCCTAAAGTTCTCAGCACTTCAGTGTCATTTTTAAATGCTTCATTGTCGTGAATGTCATTTTTAATCACTCATAATTTATCGATTGAAGTTAATAATAAAATGATATAATCGGACAACTGTCTGTCTGTTGGTTTTATGTTTCAACAATCAATGATTGATATGTTTACTCACTTTTCAAAACCAAAGTTCCAAAATGAACGGTAATTGGTGTTTAGTAATTAATGTTGAAGTCTAACGGTTAATTTCAGCAGTGATTATATCGTCACATGAATTCAATAATACAATCACACTCTCAAGATACTGCACATAATACATATGTCAAGCGTACTCTAGATTGCTCGAAATATCAACTAGTGAATAATTTATTTTAATTTGAAGCAAGTTGAATAAAATCGAGATTTAGATGAGAGATTGCGAGCGCCGAGAAGGCTTTTCTCTTCTTATGTTTTGCGCGCTAATATATTTGATTACCATGCAGCATGCATTCATCCATCCATTAAATAATTCTCGCTTATTGCAATCCCATCAAATGGTTCTCTGAAATGTTCACGAATGTTAAGTGCTTATTGGATGCAAAAAATGGTTTGAATCGAGTCTAATAAAAAGTGATCATTGAGTTGTGCTCTCTCTCTCTCTCTCTCTCTCTCTCTCTCTCTCTCTCTCTCCCTTCCTCTTTTTTAATTAAATTGAATATCGTTCGGTGTTCGAATATGCGTTGTTTAAAAATTGAGAATGTTTTTGTTTGGATTTACTGTTGGGATTTGCTGTGTGTGTTTCGAAGCTTTTTTCGCTTAAAATTGTACTTGAAATGCATTGCGATGTTGGTTTTTAATGGTTTCACGAAAATTGTATGTAAATTAATTCGATTTTCTAGTACACGTATTTCTATAGCGATTCAACGTATATACAACAAAGCTATAGCTTTCGTGCTTGATTGCATTAAGCTTGAATTTGAACTTGCATTTAAAATGGGCGCAATCATAACATTTCAATACAAAACCAAAAACAACAACTTTTAAATGGGAGATGGTAGTGGCGGTAAATATTTTCAAATCTTTAAATGAATAATTAACATCATCATTTAAACACATTAAACAGCGCGTCAATTTTTCATCAATTTTATATTATGTGCATTACTTTTTCAAAATTACTCTCACTGTTACAGAGAGCTCAATAAATTTAACGAGGTCATATAAGCATTAGAGTAGCTTTTGGCTTTGGCAAAATAACCCAATATCCACGAATATTATGTGATAAGTTTATCAAACAACATGTAAAATAGCTTTCAGCTGCGTCTGTGTCTCATTGCCTCTCGCACCATCTCTTTCATTTATTGTCTGCTGTGACGAGCATATGTGTAGTGGCCCATTGTTATGATTGCTGCAGCTGCCAGCTGCGTTTTTTTTTCAACTTTTGCTACACCAAACATAAAACGAATATCGCACTCTCTTATTCAAAACGCAATTTTGGAAAAGTTTTCGCCAACATTTTATGTACAAAAGATTAAACAAATAGTTACTGTTGATGTCGACGCAGAATATCGTTTAAAAAATTATACATATTTGCATCGGTCCCTAAGTCTGCATTTCGTTTAGAAATTTAACAAAGCGCTCGAACAATTTTAATGATAAGCGTGTGCATTGTCCCATTCAATGGTTTTTTTTATTCTGTTTTAAAAACTGGGCTCATGTTTCAATTGAAATAAAAAAAAAAAAAAACAACGAAACAAAATCGAGCGACATAAATAAAGTTCAGCTATAAGCTATTTTACGTTCATTTTTGCACGTAAACTTTTCACATTTTCAACTATACTATCGGAGTCGAAGGTCGTTTTAGTTGTTAAACTGAACCACAGTGACTGGAGAAAAAAAACGACCAAATAATGTTTCGAAGCACTGTGTAGGTGTTTTCAGAACATGTAAAATTTTGTTGTAAGAAAAAACCATAAATTGTCAAATTTTTTTATCATTCTTCTTTGCTTGTCACACATGTCGCATACATAAATTCCAAAACAAATACCATATAAATTGTGTACGTTATCAGATTTTATATTGGCGAAATGTACAAAAGAAATAATCGAATTTAAATACACCACCGTTCAAAATAAAAGTTGTAATTACATCAAAAGAATATTGGAGGATGGGCAGCTAAAAGTCAGCCAATGTCATTACGAAAATGTCTATTTTACCAATGCAAAAAATAATGGTGAACAATTTCATCGAGAGTTAAATGCGACAAACTTTTAAACCATAAAATGGATTTGTGCAAACGATAATGGAGCGCATGTTCAATATTTCATGCTTTTATATATTGTTGTATTATTTTCAACCTCTGGTTCGTTGCCACTTTTACATCTGCACCATCCGATGATGGTGAAATAAAAGTTGGACACGCATTCAAATTGAATTTTGGCTGATAAAAGCGGTAATCCAATCGAAATTGAGCGAAACGAGGAGAAAGAGAGAGTGAAAACGAAGAAACATCATTTGAAAGGTACCGTTTTCACACTTTTTTTTATAACTTTGCCTGATTTTCTGAATGCGGGTGAATGGAAATGTGACAGACTCAGAATGAAGAAAATCTTCCATTTTCCAAATGATGCGAACAAAAAAAAACATACTAGAAATTAGGAATAATCGATGTGTATGGCCAGCATTTTTTTTTTTCATGTTTTTTCATTCGGTGACTTTACTACGAATGCTTGCCGGCATATTTTGTTCAAAAATGAACACAGTTTTGATGACATTTGCACATTTTAATCTTTTTTCTTAATACTCTGAGTCTGTCACCCAGACGTGGCATTAGATCCATTTCAAAAAGAGTCACTTACAAGTATCAATAATTTAAACAGAAGCGCTCGCACATAAATAATCATATATTTGAATAACGTTGGCAACATGAATGGAGTGTGCCACCATCAAATAATAATCGCTTGAAAAATCAAATGGATACATCCATGTGTATCAATAAAATGGGACGAAAACCCCTTTTTGTATTTCAAAAATTCAATACCATCGAAACAGAGAATGTGTATGTGTGTCATGAGCAATTGCACGCATACACTTTGATCAATTTGGTTCGACCACATCATTCGTCGTTCAAGAGTATCTCAAATACTTGTGCAAATATTTGTTAGATAATATCATTACACGTTTATATGGCCTGGAGTCGGTGTTGTATTTCAACGGGGGGAGAGGGAGAAAGAGAGAGAGTTACTCAACAACATAGTTTTTGGATATGCGTAAAATTCGAATTAGGGACCACTGAAGACGTTTACAACCAGAAAGTTAAAAAAAATCGTATCGGTAAATGTAGTAAGTGGTTCAATTTGTACTCAATAAGCAAGAGATCGTTCGTTAGAAAATGCTTACGTATGCGTCACACACATTTTGTTTGCCGTTTTCTGTGTCCCTTTCTACCTCGTTTCTTTATGTTGTATTTCGGCCGGAAGAAATACCACCTTATGATATTCTATCGCTTCAATTAATCTCCATCTTTTCAGTTGTATTTGTACAGTAAATAAACGAAAACCTTACAAGCCTCTTGATATTTATATATGAGAAATACAGCAACCAAACGAAACTTTGAACTCTCGTGCAACTCAATTTGAATCGTTTGTTTGGTTTTTGTTTCGATTCTTTTTTCGATCTAAACATTCTTTTCGAATTGAAAACATGTCACGTCTAAATGTGTGGCATTGGATTTGTTTAGAGGGGTAATTTGGCTCTTCCAGTACCTTAAAATCATACAATGTTTACATTGTTTCAATAGATTGATAGATATAAACAGATAATTCGTAAATAGCGCCTATTTAACGCATCTATCAAACGCTATGCATGCTAAAAAATGTTATCATTGTTTGAATTGTTTACAAAGTGTCCGAGCGAAGAGAGATGCATCAAGTAGGCGCTGATTGTGAAATATCTGGTTGCAAATAAAAAGTTATTTAAATAATTTTTGCTGACTTCAAATATAATTTGTGTACCGTGCTTTTTTCCTTGAATGTGTGTAAGCGTGTTTATTTTTGGTTTTGTTCAAATGATCAAAATAAAAAGTATACCGTTTTTTTATCTTTGAATACATTTTTTTTGCGCTGACGGATGACACGCACACATAAATTCACTCTAATAACCGTTCACTTCAACCCATAAATACATAAAACGGTTCGCTATCACACAAACCGAAATGGTCACAGCGTCAATGAGGAGATGTAAAGGGAACAACAACAATACTATAAAATTACACAACACTTACCGATATCCCAGTCGTTGTCGTTTTCAGTTTGGCTTTTTTCAGCTATAACGTACCATATACAAGCGAGCCAGTGTGCAACAAGTGAAAAGCAAAGCATCAACAACGTGAGAATCATGGCAGCGTATTGTGAGTATCGATCCATTTTTTGTAACAACCGTGCCAACCGTAGCAAACGCGTCATTTTCAACAAGTGTATGTGCGATTCTTGCTAATAGTGGGGAAAAATAAAATGGAAAAAGAAAAGGCAAGAGAAATGAGAAGAGGTGGAATGAAAATGAAGAAGAAATTGCCAAAAACTTTTAGCAAAAGCACTATAACCTATCAATTGCAATGATATTTATACAGCCACAACAACTTCAGCCATACTTTTCATTTTCACATTTTCGTCGGTTTCTCTTTATTGAGCAGTTTCATTATTATTATTTTTCCATCCTTTTTCTGTTTGATTCTGATGATGGCACCGCTTAAGAATGGGCGAAAGGGACTCTTTAGAATGCCACTTAATATACCAATCTATCTATCTATCTATCACATAAATTCAATGGAGCAAAAGGTCAAAAAAAAAAAATGTTGTTCGCCTTACCTCACCGCTATATAGATCGCTCGCATATAGATGATCAAACGGAAGTGCTGCCAATAAATCGACCACAAACCAACCCCTTAAATAGTTCAGCGCTATATTTCTCCAATCGGATACCACTTCACCTTTGCGCGATACGTATGTTGTCCGAAAATTTAATAAAATATCTGCCACAATAGAAAAGAGAGAAAACATTTCATCATTTTGTTATGGAATATATGATTTATAAAACTATTTTTGGGTCGACACTTTATTTCACCGAATGATGTTATTAAAAAATAAAAAATGTTGACCGAAAATAAAACAATTCCGAAAAACGTTTTTCCGGAAACAGTACAAAACTGTTTTAACAACTTGGATGTACCTGGGGAACAATACCAAAGCCGTAAAAATGTGAAATTACATGAGCATTTCCATTTAAAAAAAGGAGATAGAGAACAAGAGAATTCATAATTTTTTAAATTTTATCAGCGTTGCTCCAGTGAGAAATCTAATTGCGGTTGACGTAAAAACGGTTACATGCTTTTTTTGTTGTTGTTTATTTGTTTGTTTTTTAAACGGGTTATATAGCGCATGTTACTAATTATACTAAGGTAATAAAGTACTTAACTGAAATGTCTAGTTTGGTTCAGTTAGCTTTATATTTCGCTCTACCGAATTAAATTCATTACGAAAAAACCTCAAGTTGCACACTTGTGTGTGTGCGTGTGAGATGGAGATATACGACATCAACAAGTTAAGTGGTAAAATGGCATCATTATGAATTTTCATTTTCGCTTGATTCGTGTGATAACAACGAAAACATGCACATTCAAACGAGGAATTTCACTTACTTACTTTGTTACAAGTGTCATTATTTATGAAGACAGTTTGAATTTTATTCAGATAACAATGTTAGAATGGAATATTCTCATGTGAAATGTGACATGTGATATGTGGTGGTCCTTCAAAATAAGAATTGATGCACAGAAAATGTCGCCATTTTAAAATAAAATTGCAAGAAAGAGAAGCTTAACTGTCAAACCTTTAATAATTCGAATGAAATACTAGTTAATATGGTGTTTTTTTTTCATTCGAGATTTTTATTTATTGATTCGTGTTTGTGGAACTTTTTTCATCGCAATTTCAATGCGGAAGTTTAAAAAAAAAACTTTTCAATACTTTGTTAATGATTGAGAAAACTACGAAAAATAAACGGTTATTCCCATGAAAGAAATGGTAAAATGAAAGCAAAGGGTATACTGTCAGATAACGATATCATCAATTTATGAACTTATCAGAAGAATTGAAATGTCCCAAAGATTTTGTAACATTTATCTGGTACTCAAGTGTTGACCATTCAAGAGATGTCACAAGGTTATCTTTGAAACATTCTGATTTATCTGATAAATTGATTTATTGATGCTATCGTTAGTTATCTGCCGGTATTCCGTGAATGAAAGGTTCGAAAGCTTTACACCCTTTTTTTAAGTGGTAAAGTGATGAAGGTAGAGAAGAGTGGCAATTTTATCGTTGGTTTTTATTGTACGTTTGAATGAGGATACCAATAATAGCATGAAAAAAAGGTATTCAAAAATGTTCGAAAACTTCTAAAGAAAATATTGAAAATGAACAAAATAAAAATGGTCCTGGGTAATTGATTTCGATTAATAAAATAATCGATAACTGTAATGTTTACGGCATTGAGAAAAAGGGTTTTTGAAAAGAAAAAAAGGTAAAAAAAGATGCCAGTTTATATTCATCCAATCTTCAATCTTGAACATTTTCTTCAAACGTTCTGCGTATGTATAACTGCAGAAAGGAGTTGTTTTCTTTCGGGTGAATCTCACAACAAATTAAATCTCTTTTAACTTTTGATCCAAGAGCTTTAAGAAATTGCTGAGGGTCCAAAGTGTGGTAATAACCACATTGGCGGCGCCAAAATCCCCTACGTGGAAATGAAAGATGTTGAATATGGCCAGTGGGCAAATTTATTTATCAGTTTGTTTAGGTTCAATCGAGGAAAAATTATTGTATGCATTGGAAAATATAGACAAACAAGGCTTGAAAAACAAACAAATAAAATGTGTAAATAGAAACAATAAACGGAATGAACAAACAACGAATTGTGCCCAGCACTCTTTCAAATTGAAAATGAAATTGGGCTGATTTTTAGACAAAAGTAGAAAATATTATTTTTAACACAGTACCTACGATAAATAAGGCTTCGACCATAACATCTGATGGCATGGTGAGACGATTCGACGTCACAAAACTAGCATTGTACGGAACAGCTACGGCTACATAAAACGTAGCAACCAAAATCAGCCAATCCCAACAACCTTTGAACACACCATAATGTGATAAAATGAATCGTGACTTTTTCAACGCTTGCGTTTTATATTCGGGCAATGGAGCTTCCGTCGAATGCAGGAGATTCTGATGATAAATAAAGAGATTATAAAGATAAATACGAAGAATGATGAAAGCAAAAATTGAATTATTGTAGTCGGTAATAGTGCGGGGTTACTGTTGGTGATGTGTCACTTTCAATCTCTATCTCTCACTCTCTTTGTTTTGTATGTGAGTTTCAGTTGTTTCTTTGCTTTGTTCGAGGATCGTAAATAACTTTAATCTCACACAATTTTTCAGCAACCCAATACGTTATACCGTCACATTAGGACAACTTACATTGTTTAATTTTAATTTGGTTTTTATTTTTTCCGGTTTGTAGTGGCCCGACAATTGATAGAGAACAGCACGTGATCGTCGTCGACCCATATTCACGCCAGCAGGTACTTCGAAATTCGGATTACATCCATCATCACCACCTGATGCACCCAACAATGACGAATCATTCGACCTAAAACGTGCACCCAGCAATGCGGCTGAAAGTGCAAACACTTTTTTATGTTTAATTTTAAATTAGATAAGAGAGAAAAAGAGAGAAATGCTTCCATAAATTCTCACATTCATCGTATTCAATTGTATTTTGATAAAATATTTTGTTTTTTTTTTGTTGATATTTTTTATTTTCGTTTAAATTTTATTGATGTTTTTTTCTTGTTGTTAAAATCTCCATTTTCTTCTATAGGAATGCCAATTTTACGCTTATGCACAACGACTGTTTTCTAGGCAAACAACCGTACTGCAGAGAAGATGGATTTATGGATGAAATTGCAACACTGAATATTCCGAAAATACTATATTTCTTATACTTATGAAATTTTTACGAAAATTCCTTTAACTTTCATCAAATTTCTCCATATTTTCGGAAATTAATTTCAGACAAAAGTCACATTTTCAATATCATCACCATGCTTCTTCGCATCAGTACGATTTTCATTACATTTTTGATCTCTAGAAACAGCAGTTGCACACAAGACTTTACTAATGAAAAGCCAAAAAAAGACTTGACAACTTTGTGCAATTTAGTAGCAAAGATGGAAAATGCATTTGAGAAATTGAAATTGAAATTCGTTTCGAATCTACAATTAGAAAAAAATGAAAATAGGTAATGAAGATAGAAAATAGAGAGGTATATTCAAATATTTTATCAAAATACAAAAGAATAGCTACGATCTAATTCAAGTGAGAAGGTAGACTACAATTTAAGGGAATATAATAATGAGTCTTTTTATGTCACGTTACCACGAAAATTGTTTTAATATTGAAAATTCCGAATTTTATTTTGAAGAAAATCATGTTATTTTTGAATTGAGAAATTGGAATTCAAACTGAAATGGCCGAATTTTCAAGGATACAATATAAACACTTTACATTTATTTTGAAGATTTTTGGTCTTTCTTTAAATTATTTTGAATAATTCACATGAAATGAAATAGTCACCGAATTTGCTATGTGTGGCATTCGAATGGTCTAAACGAAATGTTTAACAAATGTTGTGTGTCTGTGTCAAACATAGTTTCTTCCGTAACAAATGGACATCACAACGAAATTGAATAAATTCCAAAGTTGGTAAATTCCACATGATGATAGTTTATCTGAGTTGTGAAGTGGAAAATTCAACCAAATTCTTCATATATCTTTACGCCTTGTTCACACTTGAATTTAGACGTTAAGAAATTCATTCCATTCTTCTTAGTTACATGAAATATGTCCATGTCAAATAGTAACGAACATTGAATTTAAAATGATTTGGTGAATGTTGAAGAAGAGTTAGAGGAAAACCGAGATAGAGCAGTATTTTATGAAAAAAAAGTAGCAAAAGCTTATGTCATTTCCCTACAGCGAACAATGTTCCATGCTCAACTATTGAGTGTGTGTGAATAGAGAGAAAATGTTACAACGATTATTTTCGGTCCGAGCCAAACAATTCTGAAGTAATACCGAAATTCACTTATAAATCTATTTGCATCTATATACAAATATACTGTATAGATCAAGATATATAGTACTTACCACTATCACATTCATCAGATATTGACATTTCAGACATTTTTGTGTGTGTGATATCTTTGTGTGATGCCAAGAAAAGAACCACCTCACGTTTTTCATTTTTAATCGGTACAATATCCAATAGACACCAAAATGGAGTACCTAGAATTTATACCACCGTATAATAAATGTTAGAGATCGATTAAAATGGCAGAATATTAAGATTTATTAGTTAAATGATTATTGATTTAACACTGAATGTACTGATTAATTGAAAAAAAAAATCATAGTTCACTATCTATCATGGCTATGTTTCCCTTTTCTCGCGTGTTTTTTCTCCACAGCCATGAAAACCTTTATATTCTTTTATTTTCTTCATCATCCGTTTTTTCGCAATCATTACATCACTGTACTTGTTGCTTGATAAGAGGCTCATTATGTTTGCTGATCGTTTTTTGCTGTTTTTTACAGTTTGATTTTGTTTCTTCTTTTTCCTTCCAAATTGATTTGTGATTTCCTCGTTGGAATTCAGATAAGTTTTTTTTCGCTGCCATAATCCAATGATGCACGGTTGGAGTGGTTTATTCAAGCGAATCGACTTTACTCACTCGAAACGTAATGGCGTAACAAAGAGAAAATGGCTTGGATTGTTCGGAAGAATGCTGAAGTGAAATAAGTACATTGCTAACAAGACACAACCATCATTAATGATATATATCCATTTTAAAAACACCGGTTTGAAAACGAGGACGTCGCACAAATACACAGTTTTCTTTTATACGTTTGCATTGCAGTATACCATTAAGTTGATGAAATTTTATATTGGAAGATTCTCATTAAATGAATGAAAAAAAAAATTGGAAAGAAATATGAGCGATGCTCATTTCATTGAATGGCACGCAGCAATGAAAATCTGTACGCAAATGATACAACAAAAGTGGATAGACCTTTAATTTTCAAGATGTCATTAGTGTTTCTTTTTTCTCGTTTGAGTTTTCACTCTCTGCCTCCCGCCCTCTAACATTATGTGACATTTTATAGCAGAAACGTCGTAAATATTTGCCACCAAATCTCAAAAAACCGTCACACAACCGACAAACAATATAATGAAGAAAGAACGGAAGAGAAATGAATAAGTCATTCTGCTTGTGCTATAAAATGATTGCTCATAAACTGTGTGAAAAGTTATAAATACATTTAAACCTCACGAACACCCAACAATCCCACCACCGGAAAATTACGTAAAGCATTTAACTCATTTTTTATAGTTTCAAGCAAACAAAATGGATTTCTGCCATTCTAATAGAATGTCAAACTTAATAGCTACGTTAAGACGAGTTATGATGAAAACATATCGCACACAAAACTTATGCAACAATGAGCGCGTCAATTTCGCTCCATAGTTTTCAACAGATGAAACTGGTTTCCAATGGTAGGAAATGACAGCAAATTTTAAAATTGGCGCGCTGTTTAGTTTCGATTTGAGTTGTTGAATTACATTGACGTCCCCTTTGAAATTCGGGGCACCACCGTCGGCTTAAAGAAACTTGAAGTCTCCACATCATCTCATTGCTGGTTTCATATTTTAGGATGGACGCTTTCGATTTATGGTCCCCATAAATGGTGTGGCAATGTCATGATTTTTGTGTTCACAACCGACGCGAGCGCCCCCATTTCATATAGACAATTCAATGTATTTTAATAATTTTATTCCGAACTAAAATTTTAAAGAACTTGTGTCATTCCATATGTTTGTTTTTTTTCTTCTCATAAGAAATTGTATTTGAATTTGACAGTAAGTATGACATTTTCCACAGGTTCTTCGTCGATGCTTCCACCATGCTTCGAAATAATCAAACATTTGACAAAAAAAAATCGCCAGAAACCAAAACTGACGTAGTTTATATTTATAAAAAAACTTTGATATATATGTTTGCCCATTTTGTCTCGAAATTGAGTCATCATATATTCAAAACGAGCTGTATCAAGTAATCAACAAACACTCGACGATGAAATTGAGGTCAATGGGTTATATATTTCTAATTTTCTGTCTGTCGTTCAATTCAAATGGTATATTTCGATACTTAGTAAAAAAAACTGTTGATAAACTTACCATTCTTTTTATAAAATATCACTTCTAGTTTCAGTTCAAGTTTTCCGTCTAAACTCTTTTCAATCTGTGATTTGTGATCTTCCTTTGTTTCCGGCCCATACAGGAAACGGCATGCACACCCTATATTTTTTCATATATTTGCAAGTGAATATAAAAAATAGATGAACATTTTCCTTTACATAAATTGAGTGAAAAATATATATTGGATGATATTATAAGTTACAAGTTTTTTATGCCAGATATCAGATGTTTTTTTTTCTATTTCTTTTATAGATAAATCATTGCGGGGAAAAAATAGCTTTATAGATGGTTGAAATACAACAAATCAACTGTGTAAGAAAAAAAAATTCGAAGAAATCTATAGAATTGAGTAGTCGATAATTATTGCATTTCTCAGCTATGTTTTGAACGGTTTTTATGAAAACCAATTTTATTTTTTACTAAAAAAACGTGAATTCCGCATTTTGAATGAAATAGAATTAGAAGTTCCATTTTTGTACGTTCAATTCAAAATGAGACATGGCAATTTGCTGGCAACTCATAAAGGTAATTTATGGTCGCATATTTAACATGACAAATTGTTGATTTCAAAGCACGCGCTTTCGTTTGTATGTTAAATGCTTTCAAGCAATAAAAAGTTATTCATTTTTTTGTTGCTCCGAGCCAATGAAACGACAAAAACAATAACATACGTTTTGAATGTCAAAATTTTTGTGTGAAATTGTCGTGGTTAAAGGTAGTGGAACACACTTTTGTAAGCCACTTTGATCGTATATGAATGCATATGACGATTGTGTGTTTTTTTCTATTAAAAACGTTATGTATGATACGTACATCCATGATGCGTCGTTCAAATGAATTTAAAATTACTTCAACTAAGGACTTCATTATTCCGCTTCGGGGCAATTTTTTCTACTCTTCTTATGAACAATATTTGAATGATTTTATTTGCATCATTTTATACAGCTCAATCAATAATCGGGCAAGTTCAAAAGCCTTGAATACATGTTTGTATTTATATTATTTACCTTTCTGCATAATTTGGGCCCGAGAAAATCCCGAAAGCTCAACAAATCCATCGCTGCAATAAACTATAGGATAATGAGACACTTGCGCATTACCGAGAACAAAATTTGAATCTGTAAAGAAAAATTGAAAAAAAAAGCATTATAAAAACCAAATGTTTGAAAAGGCACCAGATTTCGATTGTATACAATAGATGAGAGAAAAAATGTGTAGCAATAAGCCAGAGGATGTACCGGATCTTTGCCTTAATAGAAAAATTGAAAAGAGGATGGGAAAAAGAGAGAACGAAGGGATAGATGAAAGGGAAACATACACATAAAATATTGTTCAAATATCGAACGCTTCAAACGACGATAGTTATGAGCCCAAATTACCCGTAAATTGTCATTATGGATCATTTATTGTGGTTCGAAGCTTTTTAAACGCATATACAATGTTATCAGAGTTGAATCTTTTCAGCTGCTGTTCTCATGTATACCGGAAATCAAATCAACAACATAAACTATCTCTAATCATATGTATTAACCTAGAATGAATGCTTCATCCACATTCTCGGCACAAAATGAATCTCGGCTGATTGAATTTTCTATTGAATCAACGAATAGACGAGTACATTTCATCGATACATCGTCATCATCATAATCATCACCGCCGTCGTCGTCACATCATTATATCACACTCTCATTACAATCAGAACTATTTTGATAAATTCTATGACTAACTGGGATAATGACTGACTCTCAACACATTTTATTATAGTACAAAATATGGACCATAGACCACTTCAACTGCTTCTGTAAAAGATGGCGTTACGCGTCTCATGTTGTGTTTTTTTTTATTTGAATTCGGAGAGCCAAGTTGAGCTATATGTGTATCAAACGGGAAGCGACCTCAAATCACTTTTAAATTGTTTTCACTCTTTTTTAAATTTTGTGGTTTATAGTTTAGAAAATTCTGTTCTATAAAAGCTCCATTTTTGCATTTTTTCAAAACGAAAATATACCTAAATTATGCAAGTAAAGAACAAGTCAGAAGGCGCAAAAGTCACTATTTTCCAATTTCTATTAAATTATGTAAACGATTGGATGCATGTTTGGATATATGCTTTCGAATTGATCGAATAACAAAATCAATGTTTGGATTCCTTTTTCTAACTATCACTACAAGGAATAAATTCAATGCAAATACCACGTGCCACGTCTGAACCTGATGGAAGGTGTTATGTAAGTAAGCAATAAGTCTCACTCTTTGTTAGTTTTGTTTTAGTAAAACCGCAATGTGGTGCAAAATTTACTAATTTCCAAATTGAATTCTGCAGATGAAAGTGGACCAAACAATAATAAAACTAATACTAAAAACCAACCGCCATGCAATGTATACATATATTTCTGTACTTGTACACAGTTAGTAAATTACAAGGACCGAACATTGTTATCATCATTGCATCGAGAATAACATGAACCAACAAAGTATTAGCATGTGTATCTACGGACATATTTACTGAAGCATCAACATATTTACTAAACTTGTTGTGTGTAAATGAACGTCTGTTTACTCAAGGAAAGAGGGAAAGCACAGATCACACAGAAAAAAACTCAATTTTTGCCAAAACGATTTCGATTTCAATCTCCAACATTGTTAACTCAATAAACTGAATTGGGTCGAGATCTCTTTAGCGTGTTGAATAAAAACGAATTGAATGAAATGCTGCATCTGAATGGTAAATTTACTGTCACTGTCAAGCGAAATTTGGATGTTTTGCAAGCGTAAATCGATCAAACATCACAGCCTAGGGGCTTTCTACTATTCGTGAATAGCAGTTTATTCGCAAAATAGAAACTTTTCTTAAGTATATTCGCATCAACATCTATGAAAATTCTTATATATCATTCGAAGCCATTCGCGAATGCCAAATACTGTTTGCGAGATGCGACATATTGTCGTGATTTGTACATAAACATTCCTGTGTTTAGTTTGTATGCATGATCATTTGCATTCGCAAAATATGTATGAAACATTCGCTCGCAAATGCAACATTCGTTTAAGTCGGAACCCTCTAGATCACAGCTTACTTCAGAATAAATTAATTATTATATATACTGTTCGGCAAACGAAAATTCTTTCAGCCTGCATTATAGATTATATGAGTGCTTCATTTGCCATTCGAAAAGGAAAATAATCCAGCGCACAACGGGAGGTCGACTGCATACCGACAAATATGTTTGGATAAAATTGAAATTCGGATTAAAAGTTGGTGACTTTCAACATGGATAAATTACAACTATTTTTGCGACCTTTTTGTACATTTTTAGCAAACATACTATAAATCCAGGGAGAAATCAATCAAACCAAATAATTGGTTCCAATGAGAGTCCTGTTTAAAAGTCAAAACTTATACCAAAGACTTTGCGTATAATAATAACAAATATGCGCTAAGTATTCGAAAAATTCAATGTTCAATTCTTAGCCCAAGACATCTGTATTATATTTATGAAGATAAACTGATTAAAACTCAAATATCTCAAAGTATTCAATTATAACTCACAATATCTCAAAGAATTCAATTCTGGAAGTTGGTTTTGGTGGATCCTCAGGATCATCAGAACGCTCCCAGTTCTGGAAATGGACTCTCAGGATGGGCCATGGCATTGTCAAACCATAGTCTGGTCCATCCTGAGGATCCACCAAAACCCACTTCCAGAACTGGGAGCGGTTCTGATGATCCTAAAGATCCACCAAAGCCCACATCCAGAATTATTTTTAGATCAGAATATCTGACAATATCTCCCAAAAATGTAAATTTGCGTTCATATCTCTCGATAGCTCTTGAATTCGTTGAAATCTCCTAAATTTGTTTATATTTCTATATATTTAAAAGCGCGGTTACCCCCTAGATGTCGACCATGTGTATCAATCGGTGATTGTATTTAGTAACCAAAGCAAAGTTTCAATTCAAAAAGTGAATAAAGTCGAGTGTCAAACATGTTGAAATGAAATATACACAATTTTCCTCATATATACATTCTTCCACACAATGTGGATATTATCACTTTGTATTTTCATTAAATTACATATGGTTTGTGATTATATTTGCAGAGCGTTTGCAAATTGATATAAATCGTTCGAATGCTAATAGAGACAACATGGTTTGAATATTTATATATATTTTTTCCCACCTGTTTTTATCAATTATATTAATGCATTCATCCATTTTTGCATGGCCGGATTGTGTGGAATGCGTTGAAACGTATAACCCTCGATTTATATGTAAACTATAATATCACATACAAATCAGGCAATAACTAATGACATTTCTCGACCAAATTGCGTCACACGAGCCGTAAATTGACTTAGTGCCGGCGGCTTTGATACAGAAAATAAAATTGACATTTTAATAACAGGGCACTTACCACAATTTGTTACATTTGCTTGAATTTTTCCATGCAATGTGAGTGCCTGCGGTTGAATATCTCTGTATATTGTGTTTGCAACATTTTTTTCATGTTGCTTTTTAGTCTTTGTCACACATATTCTACATATTAAACAATCAACTTTTTTTTAAGTGCTGAACGTTGGCATTAATTATTTATTATTCAACCGCGTTTTTTTAAATTCGTTAAAAAACATATAAAATTGTTTTAATGGTATTAGGTTAATGAAACATATTTTCCATTAGATGATAAATGAAGTGTTTTTTTTTTTTTGAAAGGGTGAAAAAATGGGTAAATTAATAAAAGGATAAAAACAAGAAAGAAAGCACGATAATATGAAAAAGGATAAAAATGATTTAATCAAGTTGATTAGCAGCAAAAATGTGGGTCAGAGATTCGACAATTGGCTAGCACGTGGCTTTAGAGAGACAAACACACATTATCCCATGTAATGCATCATATGAGCAACGCTATGCACTCGGTGCTTTCTATTTAACAAAGATCAAATTAATGGGTCATTAAGAAAAGGAAAACAGAGTTTTTCGTAGTGTATTAACTAAAATGAGTGACACACTAGTATGGTCCCAGAGTATTATACATTAAGCGTGTACTGATACCACCGAATGAATCGAGTAAGAGCTTTTAAGCGCGCAAAACACATTAGATATGGACTTTGCTCGGCAACCGAGAAAACAAGCATTTCATCAGCAAGGACATCAAATATTTTCGTTCTAATTAAGTGTTTCCGCATTATATTTTGACAATACAGGAGGAAGAGAAAAAATTCGGTTGACGAAGTTAAGAAAATTTAAATCCCTTCTCTAAAAACAACAACCACATAAAAAGATGAAATATTGTTTACCAAAAACATTTACAAATTGGTCGAACCACATCTGCAAAATTACCATTATTCTCAGATTGTCACTTGAGCGTGCACAAATTTAAACAGGGATCAAATTGGTTAAATTCTATTTTCGAAAAACTTTTTACAGCTGAAAAGGGGAATAATCTCGATTGTTTACGGCCTGCGCACCCTATTATTCACGTTTCTTTTTTTTTTCGTTTATAAAACTGTCAAAGCAATTTGCATCGCTAATTAAAACTAAAAGTTTTTTTGATGTGGTTTCAAAACTCAAACAAGAAGTTTTCTATTCATTGACAGCAACAAAAACAATAAGGATAAAACGATAGTGTTGATATGCACGTCATGACGAGACTTTCCACACGATTTGAGCACTGAGCTAAATAAATTCAATAAAAAGTTAAATAAAAAATTCACCTATATGTTGAATATACGTTTTATAAATCCGAACGGATTAAAAAATGTATGCTTTGATTCCGTCTATTAAGGTATTTTAACTTATTAACTGTTCATTTCAATTGAAAAGTTAAAAGCAACCGAAATTCATATTAGCAATGAAAATGGGTTCGGATAAAAGAATTCATTTTTGCAAAAAAAATGATGGAAAATCTTTTGAAATGATAAAAGTCAAACCCAAAAATTATTATGATTGTACGTTTTCTTTGTTTTCTTCAGCAGTAATGCCGTCACTGTCGTCACATATGGCATTTGATGTTAACCATATGGGTGATATACGTTTTTTTCATCGTTGTCGGTTGTTCATGACTTTTATTCCTAATTTCGGGTATATTCTATTGAAATGCATGAAATTTATTCGGTT